GTTGGAAGGAATTTTATGTCAGCAATTTACAGAAGGGTTTTACTGAAACTCGCCTTGAGGATGCAGACCTTTGTAAAACGCAGCCATGCAAGTAGTTTGTCTATATATAGACCAAGGAAATCCTAGCCAAAATAAAGTGAAGAGCAAACTATGCAAACAGCAATTAACTGCAACAATTTCTGACTGCAATCATTTGGCACACATAATCGTTCTTTGGCAAATGAAAAATTTATGTGTTACTGTACATTTTTGCTTTGATGTATTTTGAATTTGAGGGTAATTTCCAAGTACAAGCCGGTGGGGGCTTATATCTGGAGGGGCGATTTGATGGAGGGTTTTTTGTTTTAGGAGTTTGGGGGTCGTATATTTGGAGGGGCTTATACATAGAGGGGCTAATTTTCTGAATTTTACGGTATCTTAAACTGTGTCCAGATCTCCCCATCCAACAATGCCTGGTTACCTTGAGTATGTCAAATGTGCATTTTTCCTGTGTTCAATTATGCTGTAAGCATATCTTTTAGAACAATAAGTTCGTCAAGAAAGAACACAATCTTATGTAAAAAAGAAATGCACGTAAGATGATTTTCTAAGACAGAAATGTTTACTAACCGTGTCTGGCTACTAAGGCTCATTTTAGTAACCAAATATTGCAAACTACTCACTGTTGATTAACAGGTTTTCTGTTAATTTCTACCATGCGAGCAGAGGCTTCATTTTCACTGTGTGAGCTGTCGTGCAAAAAGTAGCTTCTGCCGACAACTGTTGAATTTTCTATCATGCATGCACGAATTTCGCCACGTGATTCGCAAGCAAAATTAATTGTCAGGTCTGTCATCAAATGGCGCAAGTTTCGAGGGAATAAAAAAATTGCGACAACTCTGATCTGCTACGAAAGACCACACAAGACTCATGCAATGCTCTAAACCGGTCAAGAACAGAAAAAAAACCATTTTTTAATTTATTTGTCCAGGTCTCTGGACAAATTTGAATGGTTGTCGGCAGAGGGTACTTTTGCACGCCAGCTCACACTGTGAAAATGTCGCCTCTGCTCGCAGGGTAGTTAATTTTGAGCCCTGCTGTTCAAGAAGAGTAGGGGATGTAGACCCTGGTGGTGTGGCCAACCTTTCCTGGGCTGGGTGGGTTATCTGTAAGGATAGATCTTAATATAGGGGTAACCTCATGATCTTCCTTCAGAGGCGATAATGTCAGCCTGTAAACAGGGTATGAATGTCTCATAAGAATTATCCACTAGTTCTCGGAATAATACAATTTACAGTTGGAGTTAAAGTTTGACAACTGACACCACAGTATTTTAAGTGCTGCTGTGAATATTTTTGCATTTGTTAGCTTCAAAAGCACCTTGAGACACTTGAAAGTCTTCTTTATATCAGTGGTCAAGAAGTTGTTGTTACATGTACCAATTTTGTGGGCCCTGCTTTGACTTGCGAGCTTCAAATTGTGTTAAATTATACATATCAATGTCTTTGTTTTACAGTATTATTTCCTTATGGACACCTTTATAGTACAGTGCCTTTACCTATAGTGGGCTGCTTTTTTTACATCATTTCCTCGTTAAACACAAAATTCTTCCAAATTTGGTTATCAGTAACTGGTTATGGTGGATTATGCATGTGCTTTTATCCAATCAGAATTGGGGAAATATTTTGAATGAATAATAAGTGTAGTTAAGAAATTGATGTTGAGGTCTAATTTATGAAAGAATAAAAAGGGTGGAAAGTGTCACTCTATTTATGTCAGTCTTTAATGTTTACAAGAACATTTACTGCAGAATAGGGTTCCTCCCCTTGGGCAATTTATAGGCGTGTAACTGCAAACGTGAAAGTGATCAAAACCCAGAGTGAGCCCAACCCAAGCTAGTTCCCCAAGGGAGCTTTGGGGGATCATTAAACTTTTCCGGGAAACTGCCCATCTACCCCTCCCCTACATCAACATTATTTCTTCTCACTTAGGGCCAAATGTTGGTTTAGGGGAGGGGTAGGTGGGAAGTTTCCCAGAAACTATAATATCTGCTTTTGGGAAAAGGTCTAGTGTAACCTGGATGTACTTATGTGTTGGCCAACTTTATGATTTTATCAGATTCCTTACTTTTTAGGTATTTTTTACTTTATGGCTACCAGTAGGGAAAAACTGATTAAATTTGGGTTCTGTTGATAAATTCGACAATATGACATCATAATGGCATCAAATTACATGTTTGTGTCAATCAAGATGTACCAAGATAAGGAAATGTAGTCTGTGAACAGGCTCTCTGTTTTGGGGAAAAAATAGCTCGACCAAAGGCCTGTTCACAGGCTGAATTCATCATTCTGTGTTATTTCTCGTTTGCTCCCTCGTGTCCAGCCACGCCTGGACTTCATAGACTTCAAAGGGACTGCTACGGACTGCTAGCAATTCCGGTATAATAAAACGGCCGCGCTGCGGTTCCTTTCATGTTTTTCCCTAAAAGGATTGACCGCATGTAAATTGCTTAACTGGCTATCATGAATAAAAAAGGAAAATTGTTAACCTGTAAACAACGTATTTTACATGATTTTTAGGCTTCTATTAAGAAGTAGTTAGCTGTAACTCGAAACTTCTTGCTGATGAATTGACAACTGAGACCCGAACCTGTCACGCTTGGAAACACCTGTCATTTTATAGCTTCTGATTCGCTCATTTTTTTCAACAGTCTGGGTTACGCTTGCTTTTCTCCCGTTTCGATTCTTCGTCGCAGCGTGATATTTTGTAAGTTATCGAAAGCTAACCGTTGCTGTATAAAGAAGAAAATTAATTGCAAGAGAATTTTTGGGTGAGTTGTTGTAAATCAACCTTTTTCCTTTTCTCGCGTTCGAACGGTCCGTTTTAGTTTTGCTAGCGTGACAATTATTTTAGTTAGCTTTTTATTAGTGTTAAATTTGTTTTGGGCACAGTTTTCTTATTCCATCGAATAGTTGACTTCACGTTTTGAACCACAATCTACCTCTGTGTGCTTAAGTATTTTAAGATTGTCCCTGGTTAAATCAAGCGAGTTTTAAATTCCTCCCTACGTTTGAAATTTGGTTTAAATTTAAATCGCAATTCTCGCGTCACCGCCGTCTGCAGGTCTGTGAAATAAATTCACGATTAGTGCATCATTATTATACGGGATGCGCCATAGCTGGACAAGACTAGCTTGCCTTTCCTGCCTTGCTAGTCGATGTTTTATGTAGATAGTGTTTCCATTTGCTGCAAAGTTTTAGGAGGCGGTTTTAACGCTTTAGACGTCGTTTTGTGAAACAAATACACTTTTAATAGACACGCATTTATTTGTCATCTGTCTAGCCCGTTTCCAGACTCCGAGATAGTCGGGTCCGCGAACACGAAAATTGTAACGGGGGGAAACTGGGAAGAGGAAGGACGCAAGTCATACACTAACGCGTCATCCCTTCTATCTGAGACAGGGCAGATAAATGTTTATCCTTTATCCGCCCTGATCTGAGAGCCTGGAACAGGCCAGGGTCTGTCATGTCCTTTAATTTTTCACGTCACTCAGTACATTACTTTTTGTTTGCTAAAATTTTAAAGTTAATCGGCCGAGACTAGGAAACAAACATTTAAAGTTAAGCACCGACAATGCTTCAAATCTTGCTAAGGAGCTTTCCCCCTTCCCTGCCCCCAAAAAAGAAAGGAATTCTTTCAGCCAACTGTCACTCATTTATCCGAGAAACACCGATAGATTGTCGACACACATGGCCGGTCACAAAACTTGAATGGCAAACTGGTAGATTTGGACATGGAGAATTCGTTTTTTTTCATTCGTTGACCGACTTGTAATAGTTGACACTACAGCTGCCTCTCTCTGTATATTGTCGGTCAATAGTATTCTTGCTCGTTGTGTAGCTCTTTGAAATATACCGATTCATAGTGAAGATGCTCACACATATTCCATACAATAGGTGAGATAAATACAGGAAATAAACGCAAGGTTCCATGCACAGTTTCGGTTCGATTTAGACAGCTTTGATCAAAACATTTTCAGTTTCGAGAATAGTTGATTCTAAACCATAAGAAAAGATTTAATTAGAAGTTTAATTTTTCGCTATTTCTATTTCACTTTTTACATTTAGTTCATTAAATTTGCCGGAAAGTAAGCCTTAGAAATTAAAAGGACGTTTGAACAATTCACGCTCGCGCATTCTAGTCTTATTTTAAACTTTATAGCGGAAGGAGATCTATGAGCAGGGAATAAGTCAGCACAGAATTTGACGGTCTGCGAATTTCTGTAATCGTCCATCGTTTTGCTGGTGATAAGCTAGCAGTTGAATCATTCACTCTTCTTGCTTGTTTGGGGCCGAGTCTACCCTGCGAGCAGAGGCCGATCGAAGGGCTTCTGCTCGCAGGGTAGACCGAGTCTTATTCCGGTCAAAGAAAGAGAAAGAGTGTCTGGCAAGGTTTCCAATCAAAGATTTGTGAACTCGTGTCTGGCAACTCACTTAGTGTTAAAATATACACTGTTATACGCACCTTATAACTTCATCTACGCTTAACGAGTGTCTTTTGGTTCATAACTTTCATAACAAATGCCGGCCACAGAATGTCACTGATAACACGTAACGCAAAAGAGTATCGAAGTATGACTGCACAATTAATGTCACAAAATCTACTTATAGTAAGCGGTCCCTTCGGGATTTTTTGTGTTTTACGTCATCCTAACCATTTCGTACTTGCGGGCGCAAACAATAGAAACATCATCAGTACCTACCGATTCCTCGCGGCTCCTGTTCAAGCAAATCGAGATTTTTTCCATATTGACTGTATGACTGTATATTCCAACTGTAAGTACTTTCCTTAATATACGCGCGAGTTACTAGAGTGCCTCCTCGCGATTTCGCCCTCTGGGCGAAATCTCTGCGGGGGCAATTACTCGTTTATTATAGAACTATGTTTATTCTGTTTTGTTATAAAGCAGCCAAACCAGCTAAGCGAACTTTCACTAAAAACAAAGCTTTCACATTATTTACAGGTAGTTAACGAACGCTGATATGACGACAACTACACAAAGACTAGTAGATTATTACCAATGGGTCATCGAAAACGGCGGTAAGTATCTACACCGTCAAACTGCCCATCTCGCTCCATGGAAGGACAAACTGACCATCAGTTCAACCTCGTATCCAGGGTCCTGTCCCGCTCCTCGCTCCGCGGCACCAGTAGAAGTGGACCCTGGGAACGAGGTTGACCGTCCGTTCATCCGTTCTTCAGAGATAACCTTCTACGGCCTTCTACAGTCGAACCCCGCTCAATACGGGAACCTTATTATTACAGACAGTTTGCTTTGTCCCTAGGGAAAGAAAACCCTTTTATTTTCTTTAAATCCAACGCGCGCTCAACACGAAAACTTTCTATGACCCCCTCAGTGTTCATATTAACGGGGTTCGACTCTGGTACCTGGTAATCTGAGCTACAAATAACAGGCGGTTATCGGCCAATGTCCGACCAAAATTTGCTATATGTCGCACAGGAATCCTACCTTTGGTCGCGAAACGTGGTGAATGGACATAGTTCATAGTTCAACTTAAGAACATCATTTTAAGGCTGCTGATTGGCAACGTCTCGTCTGTCTAGGTTGTTTGTTAATATAGCCATATACGCGTCGTTTTTGGCGGTGAGGGAACGTAAACTTATCCCAAAAAATTACTTTTTAATGGCAAATTCACAGTTTTAGTTAAACAAATTTGTCTCTCCAGCATCATAACAAACCTTGCAGACAACAAAAATAAGTTTTGAAAAACTGTTAGCCTAACAAGTTTTCAAAGGCCCCAATTGTAATCCGTTTTAATCTTCGAGTTTGTCCATCTGGGGCTTATTTTGAATTTGCTGTTCTATTTATGCCTTCTTTTATTGCTTTGAGCGATTATCATTTATTAGCCTGTTCCAAGCGTTCAGATAGTGGAGAGCGGTGCGAAGTAAAGAAAGCGATGAAAAGTAGAGGGGGACTGGGGAGAGAGGTGCGGTTCCCTCTCTCACCTCTCCCCCTCCCTCGTTTTTTTTTTTTTTTTTCGCGCTCCTTTTTTTGCTTTTTTTTTTATTCCTTTTTTTTTTGTTTGTTTTTTTTTTTTTTTTTTTGTCTTTTTTTTTTTTTTTTTTTGTTTTTTTTTTTTTTTATTATTGATTTTGATTAATATTAGAGGGGGTCTGGGGGGGGGGGTTGGGTTCCCTCGGTCACCTCGCCCCCCCCCTAGTTTTTTTTTTTTTTTTTTCGCGCTCCTTTTTACTTCGCACCGCTCCCCACTATCTGAACGCCTGGAACAGGCTAATCATTTATCTAACGACAGTTCTCACTGTTTGAATATTGAAAAAATCCGTGACACAACCCCTTTAAGAATTAAAAGTCAAGTTACTGTGTATGTCGGAAAAACTTTCTTACTTTCTTTTCCGACTAAAATTCTGTCCTGTCTGTATGTTGTGGTCGTTATAAAAGAAAAAAATATATTTGCAGGCCTTACTTCTAGTTTACTGTTGTTTTCTTTGTTAATCGACACTACACTCTTCTCCTTTTTATAAGAAGGACTAATTTTACAACGCCCTGGGAACGACGATGCTAATTTTATATCTGTGCATAGCCCGGACTAAGCGTTCTTCTTACCATTATTTTTGTGTTGGATTTTCGCGAAATCAATCAAAAGCCGCGCACATTTGAGTCTGTTCTCTATAACAATCAAGTGATTATATTCTTGTTAGTTTGTTGTTTTAGTTAATTATTTGTTCGTAATCATTTTAAGGTCAAACGAAAATATTGCGGCATATTGCTATATGGTATGGTTTTATTGTTCTTGTTAATAACATGTCTATTTTTTTCTCTCTTCTCTACCTTAGATCCCAAAACCGAGGAATGGCCTTTAATTGCCACTCCATGGCCGACTGTCGCTTTAGTGGCCATGTATTTGTTCATTGTCAAAGTAGGGCCCAAGATAATGGAGACCAGACCAGCTTACAGTCTGAGAGAAGTGCTGATTGTGTACAACTTTGCACTTGTACTTCTATCTGGTTGGATGGTATACGAGGTGAGCGTGCCTCATGGCTCAGTTATAACATTGAATATGATGCCAGAGTGATTTCAGTCTGAAAAAAACTTGAAGAAAGCTGAGCATTTTGAATGATCTTGGTTTCCTCTTCTCATCTTTTTAGTGCGCTCTACACATGAGTGTGGGAGGGCGCAGTTCGTGAATGAGTGTGGGAGATTACAGTTCGTGAGCAGCGTGAATGAGTGTGGGAGAGGGGAGATCGTTAGTAACGTGAATAATTGTGGGAGATAAGATTGCAGATCGTGAGTAACGTGAATGAGTGTGGGAGAGGGCAGATCGTTAGTAACTTGAATAAGTGTGGGAGGTAAGATTGCAGATCGCGAGTAACGTGAAAACGTGTGAGAGATTGCAGCTCGTGAGTAACGTGGATGAGTGTGGGAGAGGGCAGATCGTTAGTAACGTGAATAAGAGTGGAAGATAAGATTGCAGATCGTGAGTGACGTGAATGAGTGTAGGAGATTGCAGCTCGCGAGTAACGTGAAAAAGTGTGAGAGATTGCAGTTCATGAGTAACATGGATGAGTGTGGGAGAGGACAGATCGTTAGTAACGTGAATAAGTGTGGGAGATAAGATTGCAGATCGTGAGTAACGTGAATGAGTGTGGGAGATTGCAGCTTATGAGTAACGTGAATGAGCGTGGGAGATTGCGGCTTGTGAGTAACGTGAATGAAAATTCTGGGGCAGGGGAGATGATGGAAGCGGGATGGCATTTCACTCTTTCAGTTACCCTCTCATCTATTCATTTATTTGTTCTGTTATTTATTTTTGATTTTATGCAGTTTATCGCTTCAGTCATGGATATTCCCAACTTTAACTTTTTGTGTGAGCAAGTGCCTTACGTCCGTGACGATCCAAGATTGAATCGGGTTTGTATAAACTACTTCAGCACAAAGTTGCACTCCTTAACCTAGTTTCGATCACTAAATCTAGGTTTCTTTCACCCAAAACTGTTCGTAAAATCCGGTTCCACTTTCATGACGGTGATTTTGGTCAACTGTATCAGTAATGTCATTATTGTTTGTGCCTTACGTCACATTTTGCGTTTGCCTGCTATAAAACCTTTGTCAGGTGAATGGTACTAAGCACGTGTAGCTTAAAATTGAGTTAGGTTTTTATAGAATAATTATAAAATCATGTGTTGTTTACATGTTCAAGTTTGTTTCTTTCAATTTTGTTGTTGTTGTTGTCGTTGTTTTTATTCTTATCGTCTTTTTTTTGTTATTCGCCCTGTGAACCAGTAGCTACAGACTTATATTTAACCTTTATAAAACAGGAATTTAGGAAACAATGCTTTGAAGCTTATCATTGTTATCTTCCTTTTTTACAGCTGGCTCGTGTTTGTTACGTTTATTGGTTGTCTAAGTTTGTGGAGTATCTAGACACGGTAAGTAAAGTTGATGAGTTACCAGGTTCTAGGAGAAATACAAGTTGTCTGTGTCATGAAAGCTGTTTGGATTTGATTTAACAATAATTAAGTTCGATATTATTGCCATTGTTCATCCCTTTAAGTCCCAATATTAACGAACGTCGATTTTCTCCTAAAGATATTCATACATTGTCAAGAGATTGGGTTATGAGAATTAATTAAATGATCACCTAAGAGAAAATACTTTGATCTTTTATGAAATTCTCTCAAGTCATTCTTTAAGGAAATATTTAGAGATCAGTTTGGAGAATTTGTATGTGGATTTTGGGGCTTAAAGGGTTAACTAAGGCCCCTTTTATATAGAGAAAAGTTGGCCCGGGTAAAAGGGTCGTCGTCCCTGCCCCCAGTCAACTTTAGCGAGCGTTTATTCGAGAATAACCGTAGGTTAAGCCCGTCTGTGGAACAGCGCCGAAATCCCTGTTCTGGGCCCCCACTTGTGTACCAGGATTTGACTACATCTACGTGCTATGATTGGCCTGTTAAAAAGCCATTGTCAATATGGCAATCAGGTTGAAGGGAAATTCGACACGCATTTCCGGTAATCCAGTGAGTCCCTTGGAGGCCCAGACCAAGGATATCGGCGTTGCTTCGCAGACGTTACTAACCGTATTTAGACCACCTAAAGGCTATCTCGGGTAGGCGGATGACATATCTTCCCGGGACAACTTTTCTTCATATAAACGGAACCTGATTGATATATTTTCTATTGCAGTTTTTCTTCATTCTTCGCAAGAAGAATAACCAAGTGACGTTTCTACACGTGTATCATCACGCTAGTATGTGCGTATTGTGGTGGATGGTCTGCAAGTGGATTCCAGGTGAGAGGGATGGATGGCTAGAATAAGGTAGGGGATGGGGGGTTAAAAAGAAGCGGTTAGTAGGTGTGGTGAAAGAAAGGATTTCCGGTGAGAAGGATGGGAGGTTAGAACACGGTAGAGGAGAGGAGTGTAAGAAAGACACGGTTAATGGGTGTCGTTAGCAAAAGGATTTCAGGTTAGAGGAATTACAGGCTAGAGTAAGAATGGGGATGGGAGCGTTTACAAGACGTGTCTAATAGGTGTGATCAGCGAAGAGATCAAGTTGAGAGGGATGGAAGGCTAGAGTAAAAAAGGGGATCGGGGTGTTAGAAAGACGCGGTTAATGGGTGTGGTCAACGAAAGGATTCCAGGTGAGAGGGATGGGAGGCTAGAGTAAGGATGGGGATCGGAGTGTTAGAAAGATGCGGTTAATGGGTGTGATCAGCAAAAGGATTCCAGGTGTGAGTGTTAGTTACGTATTAGGGTAGGGCGTCCGTGGAAGAAGCATGGGACAGGATGTAAAGAAACACGTCTTTAGCGGGTGTGGCCATTAAAGGAAGAGAAAGAACGATGCGTGTATTATTATTCCAACTGAGTTTCAGGTGATAAAGAAGGAGAACAGACGAGATTCTAGAGTTAGCAAAACGAAGACGAGAGAGGCTAAAGAGACTGAGAAAAAAAAAACGTTTTTACATTGCTTCCCTTTCGTTTTGATCATGTTTTTCACTTAAGACATAAGTAAACGCCACCAACTATTTTTTGCAGTGAGACAACTTACGGAAGAAGAAAATAACGAATGCGAAAATAGACGAGGAAAATGGAACTAATTATAAATTAAGATCGATCACTTAACACCTTACGTAGCTTCTAAATTCCTGTTTTCACGCAAGTAAGATAATTTCAGAAAACTTCCTTTATATTAACACTTTTCTTTTGTTTTGTTTTAGGAGGTGTCTGTAAGTATCCTGTCAATATCTTTTCTGTGGTCGCTTTACTCCCTTTTTTGTAACTTTGTATTTTTGAAAAATTTCTGACCCTCTGTCTTTACTTTCAGCTTACTTCGGTGCAACATGCAATAGCTTTGTCCACGTGGTCATGTATGCTTATTATGGTCTGTCTGCGATTGGTCCGCAAATGCGTCCGTATCTGTGGTGGAAACGCTACATCACAAAGCTTCAACTGGTAAGAATCCTCTCATTTATTGCAATACCTTATAGAGCTGAGCGATTTCAACTGAGTGACGTGAGACCAAAGGATTAATCTGACCAATCACAACAGTAGACTTTCAAATTAATCAATCAGAACTTAAAGCAAATGTGTCACGGGCGATAAACGCGGGAAATCACCCGCAAACAAGATTTTTGATTGGCTGGCTGAAAAGCTGGATCACGATGTCGTGTAAATTACAAATTGAGGAAATACAAAACTGAAGACTTTGAATTTTATTTTTACACTCGTTTGAAATGCGCTCTTCTACCATAAGTTATAAGTTCATTTACCCGTCAACGTAATGTTGCGTTAATAAGCTCCGTCTATTTTCTTTGTTAGTTTTGTTTTCTTAACATAGGCGCTAAGCTAAGCCTTTAAGGTTCTGTTGGAAAGTCTAAAACTTCGAGTTCGATTTTTCAGTAAATCAATAAAATGACTATTTAACTCTTAGAAAACGAGAACCAGTAGTCTAATTGTTTTAGTAGAAACTAAATGACGTGCTACTTTAGGTTCTAAATCAAGTTTTAATGAAAATGTAAATAAACAAGCCTTCTTATACACAGCTAATTTTGTACTTCTTACCATTTAAAACGTTCTATCCGTTTTATATTATTGTTTTATCGTTTTTTTTTATAGTATCATTAATTCATTTACCTACTTTTTCATCAAACACGATTTGTTAAAGAGGTTGCCCTTGTTTTGTCCTTTTTCAAAACTCCGTGCTCGCTACTCGCGTGAAAACGTATTTAGATAACGCCATAATCATTTTTTCTCTAAAAGTTCATTCCGAAAGATCACCCCTTGAAGCCCGAGGGGCTTCCTTCAGACGCTTTTCAGAGGTATAGAAAAGCAGATTTAAAAAAGCGATTATAAACTGAAAGAATGCGCTCTTTTTTTGTTACATGTTGTTCTCAAGGGTATATTGTTTTCGTATTAGCAAGCAACGCCAATTATATGCATATTAAACACGGATAGCCAGCATCGAAATTTGTCTAAAAAATTCGTCTTTCCGCTATTTGCCGAAACTGTAAATTCACATGTGTATGGCATCATTGTTAACCGTCGTTTGTATCAACCACGCTAGCCATAACAATTGCTCTTAAAAACAGCGGTTAGCAATAATGCTCTGAGCACACTTGATTTATTTTGTAAAAATTTTGGTATTTTAACATCGTTCGTCTTGCCGCACTGCAAAGTAGTAAGTGCTTCTAAAACCAAAGGCATGTTTTGTCACAACTAAGGCTATGTATACATTATACTGGATAACTTTTCACGTCGACTTGAAAAGCTATCCGCTATAGTATGAATACCTGTTCATTCTGCGCAAAAGAGTGGCATAGAAACCTGTCTGATCCACGTTCAATATCTGGGTGGGGCGGCTGCACCGCTCTACAGAAACCACACCGAAGTGAGCGTTCTTATGTGTGAACAGAATCCCTATCCGAGATGGTTTACGTCTCGGCGCAAGACCTGTCAAGTGTTGTGCAGACATAGCTCAAGTCTCCGATTCGATGTTGCTCTGGGTCCTCTTCCGTTTGTCTCTGTCGACCATGTTTCGTTCGCGAAATGGCTCACAGTCTGGTTTACTACGTTCACACTTAAATTATGAAAACATCCAAGTTCTTGTCTTATGTTATATATGATGGACTAATCACTATTTTTTAGGAATGGAAATAACAGTTAATGACTAAATGATGTTTTTGTCCATGCTTCTTTGCAAGTTTAGTACACTAACTTATACATAACGTCTTCAATAAAGCTTTGATACAAGTAATGTTGTCCTGTCTCTTGTCCATGTTAAATGTATTCATGGTCGTTTAGTCTGACATGAATTGATCTGGCTATAAAGCTTAGAACAGTTAGTTATTGCGGCACAATGAAAATCAAATTCTTTTAAAAATGCAAGAGAATAGTTAGTACGCCGGCCTTTGAATGACTGATACCTTGACAATAGTGAGCTTAAGATCCGACGACGGCGAGATTCTACGACGGCAGACTTGGTCGAGGGGGCTTGGGGTGAGGTCGCCGTCGCAATGGTGCGAAAAATAGCATTAAGAAAGCTCGCGCGACGGCGGGTTGTTGTAGCGCCTTTTCCTGTTGAAGTTTAGAAATAAATACAAGAGTGATGACTACTTTTAGAAAGGTTCGTGAATTGTTACTGACAAGTTTCGATGATGGCGACATTTCAGAAGATGAATATTTACTGTTGTATGATGTCAACAGATCTAAAAATCCGGATTTTCCCTACCAGAATTACGAAAATTTTGACCTCGAGAGGCTTGACGAAAAGATGAGTGACATAATCCATTGGACCTCAATTTAATGCCAAAACAGTCTACGATATCATAATTGTTAATAATCACATCAATAAACACAAGAAAAAACTTGTAAAACTTACTGGGTTGCTTTCTTGTCGAGTTGACCGAGTCCATGGCGATTAACGAGTCAAACTGTTTAGAGAGGGCAAACAAATTTAATTTAAATACCGTGTTCAAATCGTTTAAGTCGCTTAGAAATTCGACAAAAATGGTCTACTGAGAATAAACTGTTAACAGTGCTAAACAATTTCGCTCAAAATGTGTTTAAATGGCATTATTTTGATCAAGTTTACTCACGTTTTACACGCGACGGCAAAATGGCCTTCTTCACGTCACAGACAAGGCCGCTACGGCGGGAAACTTCGCAACGACGGCAGCCGGAAGTCTTTCTAGTAGTAATTTCACTTCCGCTCGCCGTCGCAGACGTCTGCCGTCGTCGGATCTTAAGCAGGCTAATAATTGAAACACGGCTGCATAATTTGAGTATTGTGAGCAGGAAGGAATACTATTCTAAATGTATCTTGAAGTCATATTTAGCTTTATTTTCAAAGGAAAAGTGGTAATAAGTTAGTTGGTCGAATCATTGAGGAGATCCCTTGTGCAAAGGCAAGCGCGAAGTGTGATAGAAAACGTTTAAGCAGCCTCGTTGTTTGGATGCGTACTATAAGAGGTAGTGATGTAAGAGGATAATAGCTATGATTCATTATATAACACTACTTTTTTATCAATATGCGTCTTTATCGGTTAAGAAGAGACTGTGCAATATTATGTGTAGGGTCATTGTAGTTCATGTGTGCTATCGTTCTACTCGATTTCTAGCAGACATTCTGCAGTTGTACTCATAATATTTGCTCATAACAAAAAGTGTTTTCTCAAAGCGTTATTGTAACAGACATATTCGTTCGATAGTTGAGTCCTTTGAAACGTTAGTAACGTTTTCACTAAGAATCCTAGTAGCAGGAGAAAGGTGTAACTTAACAGGAGAATATTGTGAAAAAGGCTCCATGTCTCAATAGAAAATAGTTATAGGCTATCGCACGTTCTGAGCCGGAGAATTCTGTTTACTAAACGGAGAATTCTCCGATCTCCGATGCCTAATGAACACCCTGCCGGTTACGTACATCAAATGTAGGACTTTTGTGTAAACGCAAACATTGGAAGTCGTCTTTGCAAAGTGTAAAAATATAATTCATGACACAGAGATAACCCCAAAAAATAGTGATAATAATAACGATAAATAAAGTATATTCGCTCGGAAAAATAGTTATCCCCCTTTTTCTTTTTGGGACAGTCAGGGCACATTAGAACTGTTGATCGTCTTGGATTCAGGCCCTAAAATATGAAAGAAGTCTACTTTAAGGGGCTGTAGTCTATTTCGTTTTGGTTATAGTGCCAGTTATGCGTCCTTATTCGCTATGAAACTTAAGAAATTGTACCAGTGAACTAAAGATCTGTGAATGTCTTGTAATGATCAAATCAATGATTACGTTTCACTGTTTTTCAATAATGCATTTGCATAATGCCCTCATTCTCCTACTACGACCAGAATGTTCCCAGGGTTTTGCCTGTTTGTACAAATCAGGGCTGTTGTTATTTGAACCTCGATAGGATTATCAAATTTGAATATAAAAGGAAACGCGAAAATGATGTGTGCTGTTACCATTCAAATGAAACCTCTTAAGCTGAACTTTTACATAGTTTTATTCACCGTTTGAGATTTTATAGAAAGAAATTTATAATTTTTTGTGAATTTGTTAGTTTGGCCAGTATTAGGAGTGGGGCCATGTCACAAGAATTTTGCTCTGTGAGGTCAATTCTTTGCTGAAGTCATTACTTCCTTTACCTATGCTGCAACAAAATGATCCTATAGAGTTAAGAAGAAGATATTAAACAAATTTTAACAGAGAGCAATAAACATAATACTTTTTTGGTGTTTTTTGCCGGGTATAGCATTAAAACTTTAAAAAAAAATGACACAACTTTTTTCAAGATTCAGTCCATGTGCACCCTTACTATCCCGTAGCAACAGACGACAGGAAACAGCTTCAATACCTAAATATAGTCTTTACCCGCCCAAATATCCACATACAAATTCTCCATACTGATATTCATACATTTCCCTAGAGATAAGTTGAGAGAGTTTAATAAAAGATCAAAGCATTTTCTCTTTGGTGATCATTTGACTAATTCTCGTAACCTTTTGTCTTGACAACGTATGGATATTGTTAGGAGAAAATTAATGTTGGTCACTATTGGGAGTTAAAGGGTTAAATAGCAAAACTGGACCATTATTTTTGGAATTCGATTGTTGCAAAGACACGTTTTAGCGTTCTTAAAGATAACAAATGTTGTGGCATAGCCCCTGCAAGTTCTTTGTGGTGATTTTTGTGCTTGTTTGCTTTTGTCTTTTTAGACTCAGTTTACTGTTATCATAATATCTGGGGTGGGCGCGTTGTTCAACCACGACTGTAAATACCCCACTTGGGCAAAATGGATCATGGTTTTCTACACATTCACTCAGCTGGCACTTTTCAGCAACTTTTACGTCAAAACGTATCTGCAAAATAGACAGAGCAAGATGGCGGACAGCAAAAAAGAATCGTAGGCAAGACTTCTGGATTAAACAACCAATGACCCGGACACAAACACACAACTCGGTGAATAATCATTTCGCGATCTTAGCAAGTGATGGACTTAAACAGAAAAATATTTTTTTAAAGAAAGCAATATATGACTGGATGAGTGATTGCGATTGCATTTGCATCTTAAGCCTACGATCATTCCCTCCCCATGTCTCTTTTATGCCTTTCCCTCTCCTGTCCAGAAAAAAAACAAAACAAAACAAATCAAAACAAACAAAGAAACAAACAAAAAACAATGTGATCGCAGGTTATTGCATTATGGGATCTCTTGACGCTGGATGACTTCTGTTTTTAAACTTCTTCACTCTATTTAAAGCACTTGTTGTTTTTCACTGATTGAAATACTGGCACGTATATAATTTCATGATATTTTATTTTAATCGAAAAATGGGTGTTCAATTTTTTCATTTGTATGTAATGGTGTAAGGGTTTTCTATTATGTTATGTTTTTACTCTTTTGTTTTCAAAAAGGATAAGTAGAGTAGGTTATTTGTTCGTCATTTAAACTGAAAAATAATATTTTTTTTATAATAAAGTTATCCAGCATTGAAGGTGTTGTACAGTTTTATTTTCAAGCGAGCTTATTCGTGCAATCGTCAGTTCAGAGCACAATACAATACATTACAGTTTAGTTTACAATTCATTTCCTAAATGTTTTTGTGGTTTCATAGAAGACTGTATTTTGAAGATTATTTTGAATATTAAGGTTAAGCGTGAGGTTTTCGTGATAAGCTGTAGCCAATGTATTTGCAATCTTTGTATACCCCTTAGTGGAGGGCAAATATAATGTAAGACACAGTTCGTGGGCCAACATGCAGAAAAATAGCATCTAAATACCAAGGCAAAGCAGAGCCTAGCAAAAGGAAATTAAAAAATAAAGAAATAAATAAATCAGCTGCAAAGCATGCGAATAATAAACAATTATTGGATGAGGTTTTTGTGATGTCCGGAATAATCAAGGTCAAGGGAAGTGTTATCAGCTGACCTGACGGCCGAGGCTGATAGCACTTACCGAGGCCTTGATTATTTATGATATCACAAAAACCGGCGAATCTTATAATTGTTTCATTATACATTGTTTTGAAGAAAATAACAACAAACACACCGTCGCAAGGAACCCGAATTAACACTGTTATTGGAAATCATGTATTACGTCGCAAGGAACCTGAATTAACACTAGTACTGTTATTGGAAATCATGCATTGCGCGTGCAACCTAAAGATTAGTCAGTTATCTGTGAGGAGATAACTAACTAATCTGTAGGTTACGCTGATTTCGAAAATTAGCTGTAGGCTCTTAGCCGATGAGAAAATAGATAGTGAGTAAAACGTAGAACAATAAACAATTATTAGACAAGGTTTCTGTCACATCTGGAATAATCGAGATCAAGAGAAGTGTTATCAGCTGAGCCGAAGGCCGAGGCGGATAACGCTTACCGAGACCTTGATTATTCCGGATATCAAAAAACCGACTCTAAAAATTGTTTTATTTCACATTGTTTTGAAGAAAATAACGACAAACACCGGCGCAAGGAACCTGAATTGACATTGTTTTTGGAAATCATGCATTGCGCGCCCAACCTACAGATTAGTGAGCGGTCTGCTAGCAGATAACTAACTGATCTGTAGGTTGCACAGATTTCCAAAGTTAACTGTAGGCTCTTAGCCAATGAGAAAACAGATAATGAGTACAATGTATAATAATCGAGATAAACTGTAACCAATGTATTTGTAATTTTTGTGTACCTCTCAGTGGACAGCAAATTTGTAAGACAAACAGCACTAGAGCTTACATAAAGCAGAAAACATGGCATCTAAACACCAAGGCATAACAGAGCCTAGTTAAAGATAATAAATCATAAATCGTTTGCAAAGCATACGAATAAATGAGTTTATCTGCGTAGTACATACGAGAAGACATTTATAACCATAGCCTTCCATCTTTTCATCCATTGACTGATAAAACAAATAACGAACACTTACCGGAACCATTTTTCAAGTTTAACGATAATCCCTCTAAGGTGGTTCCGTGAACGGAACACCTAAACGCGCTAGTTTTTAACCGGTCGAAAATTCGTCAGGTGCCGCGTGAACACAGCCTTTGTTGAGTCGAGTATGCTTAAGCCTGAGAAATCAGCTGACATCTGGCGACCCCACCGCTGGTTTCTTTGCGAAATGACGTCTGAGAAACGAGCACGGAAATTTCATACCCATTCCATGGGTAGTGCTTCTGATTCGGGTTTAAGCTAATTTCCAGCCAATCGGAAGCACTACCCAGATCTTGGTAGTGATGCGTCATCAGTATGGAATGTCTGCGCTCATTTCTCAGCCTTCATTTCGCGGGAAAACCAGTGGCGGGCGGCGTCGCAAAATGTTGGCTGTTTTCTCAGGCTAAGTATGAATAAAAATGCTGCGAACGAGGTTGGGAGGTCAGATGTACGCAGTTGTTCCTTTCGTAAACGGTCGCTGCCATTTTTAAGACAATATGCCAATTTTTGACGTGTTATTGAGAGTGTTTCTATTAAAAAGAAAGAATATCGCAACCCAGGGACGAAACCGGACCTTTAGTATCCTGATCTCTCTCCCTTACCACTACATTACCAAACATCAAAATTCCGAAAAACTTAAGTTCATAAACTAGCAAACTGTCTTCGTTAACTGTTACATCAATAACAGGTGGCCCTAGTCCGCTCCATAACTATGAACGTAAATTCAACTCGGGTCCCAAGGTCGTTCTTTCTAAGACTATTAAAAAACGTTTGAAATGGAAACGGCCGTTTACGAAAGGGAAATAGTCGCAGACGACGCTTATTCTAGTAATTAAGGTAACCTTTTTTTTTTCTTTTTCTTGAACAGACTCAGTTTGTGGTAGTTCAGATTTACATAGTGAATGCCCTGCGAATTGATTGTGGCTACAGTAGGAATCAGCTCTATCTGACTTGGTCTTATCTTGTCACTTTAATCATCCTGTTCGGCAACTTCTACATCAAGTCTTACCGTAACAAAAATAACAACAAAGACAGCCTCAGCGAGAAAAATAATAATGAACTAAAAAAATCGGAGTAAATACGTTTAAGAATAGTGATATGGTTGGCAGTGAATACCCGATGTTTTATATTTTTCTAAGGTGTAAGAGAGGGTCCATATTGTTTGCAATTCTGGCAGTACACCAAAGGAATAATTTTAACAAGACTAATATTTTAAGTTTTAGTGCAATGATGTGAGATAAATGTTTGTAGCTGCTTGTGCGATACAAAATAGGAAGGCGAAGAGAAATAAGTTGTCTTAAGGTCATCAAAATGGCTACATATAGAAAGGACAATACCTTTCGCAACTTTCAAAGTCGCAAATTTTGCAGTCCACCGTTAGTACTGTCTGGTTTGGATCCGTAGATTCATTTTATTTCCTGTTCCTAATGAAGGAAAGAGACAACAGAGAGAAAATTGTACTTGCAGTACTTTTATGGATGTTATAATTCATTGAATTAGTGACAAGGGAGAGTATACGCACATGCGATCTCAGTTATCATTAAAATAGCGAATTTTAGTAATTTGTTTCTTGACAAGGAAAATATTTCTCACAGAGAAGGAGAAAAGATCAGTAGACTTCTTTTCAGAAGTAGAACGTCGTTAGATAGTAAAGATTGTGTGGGAATTGCAACATTTACCGACCAGTCAATAATCAATCATTTAACCCTTTATGAAAGTCTCGAATAGTGACCCACATCAATTTTCTCTTAACAAACCATACATTATCAAAAGCAAAGATTGAGGAATAATAAAGTGATTACGTAATGTAAAATACTTTGATCTTGTGTTAAATTCTCCCAACTAATATGTAAAGATCATTTTGGAGAATTTGTATCATGTTTTTCTGCATTAAAATAATTTTTTTTTGAAAAGTGATGTCAAAGTGTTGTGATATTGTTTCATCAAAATATCAGATAACCCTTAATTCGCCAAAAATGCTTCGCCACGCGTCGTATTCACTTCAACTTTCTTGTCATTGTTTAATATACGTTGAATTGTCTTTTTTGCTCTATAACGTTCTAATCACCCCTCAGGTGATGAATCGTAGAGTACGTATAAGAGTTTTGAGGTTGAGGTGCGAATTCAACAACAGACGAAAAGACAGGCAGTTCCACTGTTATTTTTCTAAAGGGTATTTCGTGACCATGGCGGACAAAGGAAATGCTTAAAGCCGCAGTCAACTGGGAAGTGAATATACACAATAAGTCAAGAAATGAAGGCAATAGATGTTATGAAGCTTCGTTCTAATGATAGGTTTTGTCTCCTCTTTGTTCTAGATCCAATTCATGATTGTAGTAGTGCACACTTCCAATGCTATTCGAATCAATTGTGGATTTCCAAATGGGTTCTTGTGGCTCCAGTCTGGTTACATGTGTTCTCTGTGTATTTTATTCATGAATTTTTACAGCAAAGCCTACGTTGAAAAGAGCAAAGGCGAATGATAGTTTCTAGAACTGTTCACTTTTTTTTTTTTAATTTTAAGGCAGTTCCTCGGAATAAGATTGGTAAAAACTCAAAGAGATGTAAGGTTTTAAAGCATTAATGACTTGATTACGAACGGTAATTTATTAATGATCCTAAACTGAAAAAAAAGCCGACATTTCGCGACGCTTCTACTGGTTTCCCCGCGAAATTACGACTGAGCAACGACTGCATGAATCCTATACTGATGACGTGTCACAACCGAGATCTGGGTAGTGCTTCTAATTGGTCGTGTTGCGTGAGAAATTTGTTTCAACCAATCAGAAGCACTACCCTGTTCTGGGTAGTTACACGTCATCAGTATTGCATCTCTGTCCTCGTTTCTCAGACGTCATTTCGCGGGAAAACGAGTGGTGGCGTGTCGCCAATGTCGGCTGTTTTCTCAGGCTAAAATGGCCCTTATCCAGGGAAAAAACTATTGATTCCAACATATTACTTAATGTCAAACAGAGCGCATTATTTATTCGGTAAGAGTCTTAAAGTTCTGTGGGTTACCCCAAGCCGTAATAAGATATTTCTTTCAGTTTCACATAAACAGAGAAAAATGATTATTTAATTTTTTATAACATTGTTTTACTTTTTTTTATTAAGTTTTTGGTATTTTTACAGTTTGCTAAAAAGTTGTATAATTTTCTTTTTTTACCCTTGTTACGTTTATAGCTAGGTAATATACGTTTATAGCTAGGTAATAGGTAATAAGGGAAAACAAGTAAAAAGAATCTAAATATGTTTTATTGATTTAAAGATGGCAGATTAGATTCATTGTACACTAGCGACAAAAAAGTAAAGAATTATCATATCAATACTTCTATAACTGATCTATATTAAACGAAAAACAAATAAGAAAAATCTAAATCGATTTTCTATATTAATAAGTAGCCGCTTGTGGTCTTTGTATATTTTGTGGTTCAGTATTTTTCCTTGGTTTAAATTTTATTTTCTTTTGTTTTAAACTCATTATCATATATCACCGTACCCGAAAACGAAAGAAAACAAAATTTAAACCAAGGATAAAATTGAGCCATAACATGTACGTGAGGGGGAAAATGAAGTATCTCAGTTGTTAAGTTTCCTACTTAATGTTTGAATTAACAATAATTAACAGTAGAGTACCGTAAATACTCTATTAAGCCCCCTACGGGGCTTATTTATTTCATCGGGGGGCTTTTTTGAGAGGGGGGGGGGCTTATTTAATTTAGAAATGGCGATGGTATTAGTTCTCCATAAAGAACTAGAATACAAAGTGGAGAAGCTCAAGTACAAGAAGTTTTAGGTCATACAGTTGAGGATCAGAATCAAATCCGAACTTCCAGTTGGTAGATAAACCATCCGGGATCAGTCCACACAAAGTTTTACAGTCGTGATTGATTAATACAGTCTATCATTCATTAGTGAAGAATAATTAGGGTGGGGAGGGAGGGCTTATTAACTTTCTTCCCCTAAAAAAAGGGGGGGGGGTTATCAGAGGGAGGGGGCTTATTTGAGAGGGGGAGCTTAATGGAGGATTTACGGTAAAAAAAAACATTGTGCGAGATGCCATTTGTGTCATAACAGTACTAAAAGTCTGAGTTTTGATGTGTAGCATATTATATGCATAGATTACCTTAAATGAAAACATTGCGTTCAAAATAAAAGCTGAAATATTAAGCAATTATTGAATGAGGCTGAGTATCATCTGAAGAGTTATGGAGATCGAGGAGGGTGTTACGGCAAACTGCACTTGATTTCTTTTGTTTTACGCTTATCACCAGGGCAACAAAGAATCGAAAAAGTGCGGTCATCAAAACTTTCATACTTTACGTACGCGAGCTATACTTGGGTGATTCCGAACAAACCCAAAGCACGCGCCATTCAATAAAACGTTTTGAAAGGGGTGACACATTGCCCTCGCCTTCTAACCCTTGGGAGCATCAAGTAGTTGAACTGGTTGGAAGGATTATGAACACTCCTTTGTCAAAGAACTTTGTTACTCGTCTCCATCACTAACTACAAACATGATCTAAAAATTAAGTAAATTCTGGGAGATGTAATATTGAGCTCTCTTCGTGAAACATTGTTCCTATATTATAATGCCAAGGCCAATCAAAAGCCTAGAATTGCAAGGATTAAGTTTTAATCGAAATAGTAAATTTTACGAGTTCTTCAAAAGTTATACATCCAAAGCGAGCGTAGCCTGCGAACGGCACAATTGCTCCACTACGGCGCGAAATTGTTCAGACTCAGACGTGTGTATGGTGGGGGTTCACGAACCCCCTCCCCCCCCCCACCACCCCCCTTCTACTAATACCACCACCACACCACTACCACCACTTAAAGATCTGTAAAATTCCGCGTCTTTGCGGAGCGTCATCTTCGTTTGTCACAATCGCTATATCACAATCGCTATTGACTGGTTCTAGTGGAAAGTTGAACAAAACCTTGGAAGGGTTTATTTTTAGTAGTGTAAAGAGGCGTTCAAATGTGGTTAATGATAAACTATAATGCAGATATGATTCTCTGTCTCTCCTCTTAACGTCAAAAACACTGATAAAAGTTAAGTGACTAACGTTTTATTTGTTGCTTTCTTGAACAGCTCCAGTTCCTGGCAATTCTACTTCACACAACATGTGCGTTATGTATGGCTTGTGGATTTAGCCCAAAACTGCTCTTTTTGTTGTGGGGTTACTGCATCAGTTTGATCATCCTCTTCGCTAATTTCTACGTGAAGGCTTACATCGACAAGAGTAAAAAAGTGGAATAATTTCACAAGTGTTTACATCTGTTTTTCTTTTTCACGTTCTCAGTTTCTAGCTTCGAGATTATAAAAAAACTCCGTCGTCGGCTGCCCCGGGTACCAGAGTGAGACAGAGGAAAGCTCGAGAGATTTTCTGAAAACGCGTGGGCGCGGTTTATTTCATTCTAGATATTTTGAGAATGGACCTCTGAAGCCTGGGTAGCTCGGCACGAATGTTAAGTATTTAAACAAAGAAAAAAATTTTCAAAAACATTAATATATTAAAAAGAAAACGTATTATCTGCGGAATTCATATAAAATGTTTCAATATGTCCATTTTTTTTTAGGGAAAAGTGATTTTTGAGTAGTTGTGTACATTGTTACCTCAAAGGACTGCAAGTGCGTACCGGGAGTTTTTATATATATATGTATTTCTTTAAGTTAGCTTTTGTACTTTTTTTGTTTGTATTATTGTTACAGTGCCTTAATTTTTTTGGTACAAAAATAACTGAGAACGTTCCCGACTGTAATGTATATTATGTGTTATTTTAGTATCCTGACAAAACATACGTACGAGATTTTTCAGAAGTGTATAAGTTCTCATACAAGCGTGGCTTGCTAGGGGCGGATCCAGGATTTTTTTAGGAGGGGGTGCACTTGTCTCTTACTCTACTTCAACACCAATAAACCACATAGTTCTTTTTTTTTGCAGAATACCGGTTGTATTAGAAAACCGCAGGTCATCTCAGGGTGGGGGGGTGCGCACCCCCTGCACCCTCCCCCTAGATCCGCCTCAGCTTGCGTAGCTGGCGATTTTTGTTGTGTTTCGCAAAGTAAGAGTCACAGCCGCGCGAAAGCTGAATCGAGGACAAAAAAGAAAACGATGGGGGAGGGGGCGAGGGGAGAAGACACGTTCAGCTTTTTGCGCGGCTGAATCTCGAGACTTGCTACAAGTCGACTTCTCATATAGCCTCCCACGCAGGTGTTTTTAGGGGAGCTCGTTTTTCATCCCTCCCCACTCACAAGTTCTTAAAAGTGAACGAAGCAAGTCTCTTGGCATAACCAATCAGGATAAAAAAAATAGGACTTTAGAAAGTCTACTGAATCTCCTACTTTACGAATCACAAAAGAAAAAACACACCAAAAAAACCCCAAGCTAAGCAGGCCAATACAAGAGAAAAATAAATCAATAGTATGTGTTCCATTACGTATAAGTTTTTGTTTTTGTTTGGCAAAACCTCAAATGACTGCAACGACATACGTTTTGAGCTTAGAACAGACATTTTTTCGTTAATCTTTATAGCTTTATATTCATGATTATTGCAATAATTATGACTCACGCTTTTTTTAATCAGATTAAGGTATTGAAAGTAGACCCGACTCGAATTAACACCCTGATGGGCTCCCGACGTTGAAGGTAAAATTACTTCCCAAAGAAATTAAAAAGATAGTAGGGGGTAAAAATTAAAGTGATTCACGCAAAGAAACGGAATTTGTGGAGACAAACGGAACAACACTAAATGTTCTCGATCTGCATAATTCTTCACATCCTACTCAGCCTCATGCAATAATTGCTAAATATACTTTTTTGTGTTAAGATCAGACCA